ACGTGCAAACTCTTAACCTCTAACGAAGTACAGTGCTTGTCGAGTGCGAGAAAGTTACCACGGCAGCCAGTAGATAAACGGTAGGGAAATATTGTGAATTAACTGAAGCTAGACATTAACGCTGATGCTTAGAGACTCAGTGGTCAATCGTGTGTGAAACCGGAGGTTTTATATTCGATTCCCGGTTGTAGGGTCATGGATGCCCATGGCTGAAGAGTCCCAAACTATAGCAAAATGGACATCGAGTTACTGCATATTTTCAATGGTTGTCTAGCTAAGGTCAGTTCATGATTTAATCAGTGAAAATACTACAATCTCCACAAATCCTTGATACCAAAATGGTGAATCTTTCCAGTAAACTCTATGAATAATTGTGGCAAAAACTTTCCTGAAAATCGAAAAACATTCGATATACACTTATTCAATTACATTTCCATTATAGATGTAATGTACTTCCGTTTATTTATTTAATCCCATGGAAAGGATAGTATTCACATTTTGGTTGTATTCTACAATATATACCGTAGCAAGATACATGTTAACATGTTAAACCACACAAAAACTGACAGTCTTCTTCAAGAACACATGATGTGGTGAATTAATCACTAGCCCATCATCTAGTACATATATCTTGAGATAATAGTTATGTATAACCATTTTGATTGTCGGCTAAAACTTTCTTGGAATAACTTCAATATCAGTTTATTGTAAGATATACACATCATTTGAACAACAATATCGACTTCCTCATACTTCATAAGTGTTGAAAGATACACAGCTTGAAAATAAATCTGTCTGAATGACATTCACTTGGTATTGCTTTTTTACTTGAATCTTCCCATTATTATTTAGGACTGTAATTGATCAGTCTTTCTAATAGGCATATAAGTATCCTGTGATGATTGCCTCGATATAGCCTTAAGTCACAAGCTTTTTGAGCAACGATGGATAGTGGAATCTAATTTGATGCACGTTTCGTCCTATTTAGGACTCTTCAGCTAGATGTACTCTGTTCGAATGACAGTTTTTAATTAGTATGTTGTTTAGAATTTCTTACCTACTTACTTACTTACTTAGGCATGTTATCCCTCGTGGATAAGTATAGGCTGCTTACCAGTTTTTTATGAAGATTTTTTTCTGCTGGATGGGGTTGTTGACCCTATGCCCAACCCTCTTCCTTTTTCACGTCTTGAGACCGGTAGTAACTCTAGGAGTGCTATAGACGGAGTTTTAGAAGTTTTATTCCACATTTAATCAATGTTTTCTACTTGGAATATTCTGTTACAAACAAAGATCCAGATGTTCATGACTTAAAAAGGGGAAATGACTAATAAACTTTCCGTTATTGTAGTGGTTCCTTGTATTCAAGTATATATGATAAATGATTCCGACATAAAAATCAATAACAACCAGATAAAATACAATTTGTAACGCAGTCATCATAATAATCAACGACAACTAGTCATAACAATTGACGACGAGGATTTCAGAAAACAGGAAAGTCATAACAATTTTATATCGTTCTGGTCTTGACAAATTTACAAAAGTGAAGGACAATACATTTCCTATTATCTCGTTGTAATCTCGTTCACAGTGTAATATATCACTATACAACTAACTGTATTATAATAATTGATCTATAGAATTATGTATTTATCAAGCTCATACAATGTCATATTATTTATTCACTCTGCTTTCTTCTGCTTTATCGAAATCATTCCATATCTGATATGTCTAAAGTATGACCTAAGTGATTAATTCATATTAACATTTCATTGGCTAATTATGATTTATATCAGAAGGGGGGATTTTGTGGATATTATAATCATTTTCATAATTGAGATCATGATCAAGCTAGACCACCATGGAAAACCTGGAAGTATTAGACAGCCGTTTTGTCCTGTTGTGGAACTACTCAACAGTGAGCATCCACGATCCCACCTCTTGAGATTTGTTATTGATTGGAACTGTAAACTACAGATAATGAGTATTTTTATTTAAATTATAAACAATTAAACTCTATATATCAATTATAATGATAACTATTAATCTTTTTATATTAACCGTTTGAGTAATTTTGATCAACGGTAAAAATACAAACATGATCGATGTGTATTTGTTAAGTGATTCATTATGAAAAACTATTTTATAGATAAATTAACTTGATATTATTTACTTGAAACTTCCCATTGATGTTTAGAACTGCAATTGATCAGTCTCACTGACATATGCGCATATTGTGTTTATTGCCTTAATTCACAAATATGATAAGAAAATATGGATAGTAGTTAGCAATGGAATCCATTTTGATGAACATTTCGTCCTGTTTGGGACTCATCAGCTGGATGATGTACTTGCATCTCGGAGTTGATGTTCACTCCGGGACTCGAACTCAGTGTCATTCGTTTCAAACACCATCCTGTTATCCACTTAGCTATTTGGTTCGAGTCTCAGAGTGAACGTCAACTCTGAGATGTAGATACATCATCCAGCTGACGAGTCCCAAACAGAACGAAACGTCCATCCTGGATCCTACTACTAGCCGTTATCCATTTTTGCCTACAATATCTTGTAGATATGTATACATCGAGAGAGGGAGAGAGAGGAAACTATCATAAGAATCTCGAAAAACTAGTATTTAAAAAAAGACCTTTTTGCCAACTTCAAATATTTCTAGAACTTATATATTGAAGTATTATTGTTTGTCTTTAGTTTACCCGCATATTATACAAACATCCTTAAACGTACTTATCTATACTACTCAATAAAATCTAATCTATTCATAATGAGTTGATATCCTTATAAAAATATAGATAACACTATTTACAATTATATGACATAATTATTTAATGGGCTCATCTTTTTTTATTGTAAAACAATCACCGATACGGATAGTTACAACTTTTGTCTTAATTTTGATTAATTGATTAACATTTTTGTAATTGAAATCAATATATGTTGGTTGTTTACTTATTTGAACACATAAATATTGGTACAAATGGGTAATGAATGCATATGCGGCACACAAGTCACTTGATTTGTATGTGATCTATGATAATGAATGGATGCTCAGATCGACGTAGGTGGTTTTCTCAGGGGGCCACACTCAGAGCTTTTGACTTGTCTAGTCCACAAGGTAGTAGAAAAACGTTAGAAGATTTAATCCCATGGTAACCGGTGAACAACAATATGCTCATACGCTATTTGTTGCTTTAGAGTCCTGTATCCACTCCATGTGCACCATTAGTTTAGAATCGGGAATTCCCAACTCCACTAGGTGTATCCTCTATATCCATCAATCATGTTGAAGCACCGGACATTCTCTTTTTGTCATCTCAATTTTGTAAACAAAAGCAATCACACGAGAAGGCTGTGAGTAGGAGTTCCCTGACAGTAGCTGCATACGCGTGGCCATGTGGAAGCATTTCGAAGAGAGTTAACTCTATCCAATTTGGAGGCAATCGACACATGTGATTTTACCAAAAGTTTTATATCCAATACCTAAAAATGTTTAAAACTAGTAAATATTTTAGGGACGAAGTTTGTTGTTTAAAGTTGAAATCTGATACGGGATTAGATGCAACTTGTTAATAGGAAAATAAATCTATTAGTTTAGTAATACATATAAGGGGACATTTATCAAGGTCCGTGGAGAAGGAACGACAGATGAGACTTCTCAAGAGTTTCTCTTTATATAAAGAAACATCCGGAACCCAGAGACAAAATCAAGAGTTTTAACAATAGAATATTTAAGGGGACGGAAGTAAAGAATGGAGTTAAGTGCTTTACTTCAAAGGACGTAACAACGTCCAACCAACTCAGTTGCTAGATTTAAACCGGGAAACAAGTGGTACACAATGCACAACTGTTCAAAATACGTCTCTAGGTTCATGAAATAATTGTCAAGTAAAGGTCAGATGAGTTACAAAGATCAGATAAAAAACTAACTGAACGTATACACCTCTGACGTGAGCACACAGTGTATTGATTTGAACAATATAAATGAAAACAAATAACTCCACGGTTCATCAACAATTTATACCGAATCACCAATTCACAGGCACACTAATATTGAGAAGACATCTAGTAGAATCAATGGAATCCGACGCAAGAAGATCGAGCTACAACTAACTTTCAAAGTGAACTTCAGGTTCGGATTGTTTTTTTGAAAAAGAAAATGCTAAAAAAACAAGATATAATTCAATAATGAATTACATAACCCAATAAAATCAGACGATCTATTGATTACGTCAATTATGTGCACTTATTACATTCTTGATTAACTACAAGCTCATTTCTATTGTGCGACCACAAATTTTAAATTTTCTGTACTTTCTTCTTCTTCTACTTCTTCTGATAAGTATTACCATTGAAGACGTCTTATTGATCAGTGGTTAGTGAACAATCCAATAATTTTATACGGTTTTGTTTTACTCCTTTTTTCGTTATAGAAGTCTTGTTTCATCTCAATAATTAGGAGGTATTAGTTATTACGCAATCATATCAGTGGTTGTAATCAACATTCAATTCAAGTTACAATAGTAACAAATCAGTATTGTTTCAAGCCGTTATCGATATATTAAGAGGTAAAGCTAAATTATTTCTATTTTGCTTATGATTTACAATTCGATTGGTTCTTTTCTCTTGTTGTAGTTACTATTAGAATATGTGTCTTTGAGAAATTCTCATGGGTTGAATAAATTATCCAACATGTAATCTGATTTAAGGCTATTTTACTGCTGTGACATTAAGTGTGTTTAAGAAAGAAAAACTAGTCACTAAGCTAGTACCATCTATTATAATATGACTGTTTATATCTACTGTCAATGCTAGTTAATACCAGTACTTGAATATGTATTCAAGAATATTCATATTCTAGTTCTTATTTATTTCATTTGTCGTTCGTCATCGAATATGACAATGGTGAATACAGCATTTATTCCGGCTGACAGTAGTTAACCAAAATCGAATAAGTGTCTAATACTTTTCTGGTTTCCAATGATCATTACAACAATGTCATTTAATGATGAAATTTGTTGTTAGATAGGATAAGTCAATATTACACATTAAAAGCTTTCTCGGACGATTTAGATTTTTATAAAACATAGACAACGATTATTGAGGAATTTTGTTTGTTACATTTCGTGTAACTATGGTGAAAATAGTGTTACATAGTTAATGTATGCATAATAAAGGAAATTAACATATTCATTTTGTAAAGCTGTAATTGTTTCTCAAATCATGTTAGTCAGATTCTGGAAAACAATATTTAATTATGTTGCATACACAGTCTATGTAAGATGTTCAGGGCAGAATGATATAAAGAATAGTCTTAACTACAAGAAAAGTACATGCATTTTACAATTTTTATGTGAATCAGATGTAAATTTTGGGTATATCTCGAGATAATTTTCACCAAAAGGCAATGTACCTGTTGGGGAGAAATAAAATCAACAATTTTGTTAGCATTTATTAATTCTAGATGATATCTACCTTCAATCATGAGGTCTGAATCCTTGATTATCCTTTTATCATACTAATTTATATTCCCTTGAATCATATCTGTGACGCCTAAAGTTTTATGCATCCAATGACCTGGGCTTCACTCTGATAATTTATGTTGTCGAGTGAATGTGCGATTACTTGAACTAGTGTACACTCTTGCTAGTTTCTATGTTGCGAATGACTGACTGATCGGGTTATTAATCCAAGCTCTTGCTGCTAACCAACCTAGTAGTGAAGTGATGTAAAAAGTTAGTAATAAAAGTTTGGATCTTTTTATGTGTAGTATATCTCAGCTTCTAGGAGTTCTATCAAAAAGGGAGTAAGTCTCTTGAAATAATATCTCTTGAGGTTATCCACAGTCTATTACTTTCATGTCCCTACGTTTTTTACTCTTATGACCCGTGAATGTATATTTATCACTCATAAAAAATCTAACGTCTGTCTCCGTACCACATCATTCATTGTTTATTATGATCTATACTAGTTCTTGTAATGAGTAGTATTGCGAGCTGGCATGTTTGACTTAACCAGTCTGCGAGCGTAAGAAATATACATATCCAAAATTCGTCCTTGTATTTGACATATTTTATTCCGTTATTTTATCACGCAAATTGAGTGGATCATTATATACGAGGGTTAGTGTGATGTATATTTCCTTAACGCCGTCATATGGGATCAAACTGGAGTCAAATCAACTGAACACTAAGACAGGCAGAGTATTAAATAAGCTAGTGAGTGTAATGAAACACTGTCTGTTATGTAGAATTTCAGTCGCTTATACGAAGTAAGTCTAGATGGGTATTTATGTGAATATAATATAAATAAAATTAATGTGGAAAAATAAGCCATCCATACGTAGTCTGAGCATCCCTGTTAACTAGACGTGTTATTCCAACACTTTTACGCCTTTTTCGACCTTTCTACATTCGTTTCTTATCGTTAACATTGCTAATAACGTTCATGTATATCCTTGTGTATGTCAGCCTTATCAGTGCCTGTCAGCTATGCTTTAATTAACCACCTTCATACATTAACTACTCCATTTAAAGAGCGATTCACCATGTAAGCGAAGGTGCTTTTATCTGAGCTCCCTGTGCGTCTGCGCAAACGAATGTATGTAGTAAATCTTTCAAAACTATTTTTAATCTAGACTTCATTACTGCCGTTATATAATGAGGGGTTAGCCTAGGCATGATGTATGAGATTCAAAGGGAATTCACTTTTCATATTTTATACGAAATTTGTATCATTCACAGAGTCGAAACGCATAACTAAATGTTATAAGCAATGTCTATTGTTACGATCTGAAATATGGCACGCCTAATCTAAAGGAAACAATAATGTTTGACAAAGATGTAAACCTTTTTTCAGAACTTAAGAAACAATGACGATTTGAATAATTACTTGGTAATACCATGGAAAATGTATAGGACCATGGTGAAACACAAGTCAGTGATGTCTACCTTCATTGAATAGGTAACCAATGGCGATAAAAAAATACTGAGAACTTACATAACTGCACTTTGAAACATAGTCTAGCTGTCGACAACAGATGGTCTAAAATTTTTATAGTTAGACGAATTGATGCGTCTTTTGACATTTAATTCTATGATAGAAGTGATAGGATATGTTTTCGGACAGGATGGTATTTTGAGTGGTGGTTTGGTATATTTTATCAGTACAGTTTTCTTGGGTCTATCTGAGGTATAATGAGGGAAAGGACTGAAACAACCATCTTTACATCCACCCATTAATTTCGACGTACTTGCCGGTTTAAATACAGATCTGGGGTGTATTGGGTTTTTGATAGTTGAAGTGAAAGGCCTTCGTTTAATACGCACTTGATGGTAAGGATTTTTATCAAAGTATTGCTGAGGATGCATGTTGAGATAAAACTGCTTCCCAGATGATGAGCTTCCTTTAGCACTTGTTTTTTTAATTTTATCATAAGGATCACTCTTGTAGTTTGGATATTTTCCTATCGTGATATCAATATAAGAACCGCAGCCCTTCTTGGCTGGGGAAGTATAAAAATTCTTCTTGTGAGATTTCATTTGGTTGTTCAGCCTCGTTATTGGTCTAAAGTAAGGTATGGGTCCACTGAAAGTATCTATAGAGCTGCCTAAGCCAAGAAGATGATGGGTTCCGTTCGGAGGAGCCCAAGCCTTTCCTCTTATTTTCTTTGAGCTCTCCTTTCTTTGGATTCGAATAAGTCTTTCCAGATCGATTTTGTTATCGCCAGTGAAAATTCGTGTGAAAGGTCCAAAATAACCATCCGTATTTGCGGACTTGAGTTTAAATCCATCACAATACATCTGTTTACCTTTGAATGCTGATCGAGTTTGGTGACTGTCTTGTTTATCATACTGGTCACGTATAGTTACATAAGACATCTCTTTGAATATTCCAAGTCTATCAAAATCAGCTTGCATTGTTGGCATTTCGAAGCTAACACTAGTATAGTAGCGAATGTGTTTGAATGACTTGAGTAAATGTGAACTGAGACAATACACTCAGACTGATTTCTTTGAACATAATATGTGACCTTGAATCTACACTGAGTTCTGATTCGGTATAAGTGCTCTGTTAAACAATGAAGCATAGTTTCACTACTTTCAAAACTTTTATTTTTTAATTCTAAATTGTGATTAGCTTGTATTTATACTGTCTTTTAAATTTTAGGCTAATGCGCCTAAAATGAAATTTAGTAACTGCGGCAATTTCGTTTTTCTGAGCTGGTTCGCATGTTGGTTAATGCCACTAAGAGCATAACTGGTTTTCCCAATTACAATAAGACGTTTCGCACATAGTCATATGGCATCTGGGAATTCCGTCATCGTATCAAGTCAAATAAATGTATCATCTACGTCAGTGTTGGCGACGGAAAGTTCATGTCAAAATAGTATCGCTATATCGGATTCTCCCCGTCACCACACGGTCCCACATGGTGAAGCTCATCCCCCTCCTACGCAACTCATCAAGTTAAATTCTCTTGCTGGCCCGTCAGTTTCAAGAAAAGAAAAACTCCATACATCTTCTCGGTTCAGTGCCCCAAAGAGTCGTGAACTTAATCCTTTACCTCTTATTAAAGGTGTGTCTCAAGTTTTTAATGTACATCTAAATTCATTCAATTCATGGTGTGTTCGTGTCTGTAGGTACATCGCTATTCGGCATCCTTTTTTTACTATGTTTGTAATTAGAGTCACTTAGTGAACAGTTTTCTAGAAATAGCTCTCGTATTGTTTCTCATCTAAAGAAAGGGTTTGTTGGTAGACACGGTGCTGTCGGTTATTTAGCTTAGAGATTTAGAACTTCGTAAAATATCAACTATGTGAAAATAAATCTACCAATTTTCCACATTCTTCTAATATCTTCAAGCAGTTGCAACAGCACAAAAGTAATAAAAGTAAGGTATCTCCGCCCAGAATCTAAAATCTTAAGTAATGAAGAGTTTCAGCACTTTAAGAGGCCTGTTAGAACCATTTGAATTAAGATGCTGAGCACTTACTGTTTTTCGTGATCGTAATGGGGTTTACCCAAGCCCTTGAAAGTATCTTCAAAACTTTCTAAGTATACAGCTGTTTTTGTGTTGTTTGCTGTGTTGTAATAGAGTTCATCAGCTTTGTGTTGATTAGCCCTGTCGTAAACGTATTTTGTAACGCGCTATGCTCTAAGGCGTATCTAGGATTTCCATTTGTTGACCCCAAACTTAATGAAATTCCATTCGTGTATATGTACCGACAGATAGCACATGGATCTTAATTCACTGGTGTAAGCCACCTATAAAATTGATATCCTCCAATCTATTAGCGCATCTAATAATGTATATTTTCTGTGAATATATTTTGTATATCAGCATGTTATTTTATCGGAGTAAAGTACTTTAGCCAGTGGTCTTTGAAAGTAATTTATTGGCGAAATGGGCTGAGTCGGTAATTTGGTCTTGTTAACATAACATATCAATATAAGGAGATGAAACTAACAAGGTGAATAAAAGTACGGAAGCTACTGGAGAGATGAAGAGCAGATCTATTCGAGCCATTGCCCCTGGTTATAAGTCATAACTCGATGTCTGCAACCACTGGTATATGCATCGCTCGTACCATAACCAGATATCTATCAAGACGACTCAGTCCAAAAGTCAAAAACTTTGTGGACTGGTGACGTTTATTATTTTAGCTAAGTGAGACAGTCATGCTGTTACACTAAATCACTGCTTCATTTTCTGTTTTTCTTGGAGCGTGTTGGTGTATTTTATAATATCAGCTGGCTTAGTTTAAAATAGTAAATTTTATTTCATTTTACCAGATTCTGACAATCAAGAAAAGCGAGAGGAGCTATTTATTCAAAAACTAAAACAATGCTCAGTTGTATTTGAATTTGTACCGGATATTTTAAGCGATTTAAAAGATAAAGAGGTGAAACGAGCAGCTCTGCACGAATTAACTGAATATCTGACTGAAAATTCCGGCATAATTACAGATTCAATATATCCAGAAGTGGTTCGAATGGTTGAAGTCAACCTATTTCGTACATTACCACCACCAAGTAATCCATCTGGTGCAGAATTTGATCCAGAAGAGGATGAGCCAACGTTGGAGGCTGCTTGGCCTCATTTACAAGTAAGCTTGTCGAAAAAGTTTTAGTTGGGGATGTTTTAAATGTATCACATATTTTTAATTTTAAAAGTGTATTAGAAAGGCGAATTAGCGGTTCATTCGCTCAAGTCTTCTTCACTCTTTTAACGTAATACTCATCCCAGTCACCCAATTCTAACTGTTGCATTGACACAGTGGTCAGGCTTGCCCATCGTGATCATCCAGTCGGGATATACTGACTAGAAAATTCTCTTCTTTAGATCTTAGTATATCGAATAGGTCAGTTGGAGGATGGGAAGGCTAGAAGCAGCAAATTAAGGTCTGACAGCTAAGTTGTATTGCGGACTGAGAAGTGGCAGTATTAGGGAGTTTCACTCAAACAATCAGCATCTACAGCGATGCTACTTTCTCACAACAAAGGAATTTAAAATGGTCTGTCCTAAAAATAACATACATCACCTTATCTCACACGTTTTATTTCCAGTTGTAAGGCCAAGGACTACTCTGAAAAGACCGTATCTAACCAACCTCAATCAGTTTTTCCTTATTCTCTGTGATCACACCCCCGGGTCTCTAAGACCATTATAATGCAGCTCCCTTTTCAAACTCCGGGAGATGTATTTTTTACGATGCTGATAGTCGGGAATTGATAACTACTTACATAACTCGACTCTGTCTGATTGATATATCTCTAACTACAAGTATATGTACTAAACTTTGCGGCAAACTGCTTGTGCAACGGCAGACATTCGAATAACCAAATGTTATTAAATTTCAGCGCAACCTCATTATTTATACAGTTATATGAAACATTCAAATAAATTATAGTAATTAATCCCATTTTACATAGTTTAGTAGTAACTTTTCAACTCAGTAATAATGCTTCTATCTGGTTGTAAATGATCTGAATTTAATTTGTACAGTATGAATTTTTTTTAGTTAAACAATACTTTTTATGGGTAAATTGCAATGAACTCCAAACTTATGTTCAAAGTTTCCCCATTCAAATGCAATTTACCGCACATCCAATTATGGTGTACTGTGATCATATTGTATTCTTCAACCGACATAAATAGTTCAGTAGCAACAATTAAAACATTACTATTCTAATATTATGCAGAGTAAATTTCTTTGGGATTAATAATCATCTTGTTACAACACTACTTAATTTATCATATCTTACTAAATTATGGTTACCAATGAAGTAAATGCTCTCACTACCCGCATAAACGACTATTGTGACCATTTAATTACATACAAGTTGATTTTACTCTCCCTTTCCCTGCTAATTCTTATCATTTCCATACTGTTTTTGCCTGACACAGCAGTTCGCCTACAGTGTGAACTGTCATATATCAAGTCACTAACTTGTTGGAAGTTAAATGTTACCACCGAATACGAATTCTTAGTCAGTTTTTCTGAAATCACATACACTATTCAAACTAGCCCCCCTTCAACGTTCGCATACTAATACAGATCAGAGAACATAGGTTTGCCTGTCTTTAGAGAGTTTTAGCATCGACGTTTGTTGTCTATTCGAAACCTGCATTTAAGACTGGTGACGTACTACACATTAGCTCATCTGTTAATTCGAAAGCTTGTTTAACGTGCGTTCCTCCGGGAATCCCGTGGCACCTTCGTCCGGTTTTGTTAGCGTTTGTGTATAAAAAAGGGCCAAAGCTGAGACAACATTAATTGATCGGATCCCCGTTAACATTTGATCACATTTTATTAGATTAGAAAACCCCACCAAAGTGAGAAATCCGTGTGAGAAACTGTCTCTTCTGGTTATCTCCATCTGCTCGCTGTCAGATTGCAACTCATGCAATTAAGATTGAGTTCTACAATCAGTTAGACTATCTCAACAAAGCGCGTACTAACTTGAGAATCGATTGTTCATGTCAGGCATCTCTATGCACACGGACAAGTCGTTTAGACAGCCAATGGGGACTCGTTGCTTTCAGATCAGACAACGATGAACATCTGCAAATTTGGCAGACCTCAATCTGTTTCTGGTTAGCACTAGCTATCGGCACAGTCACCGCTGATGTGCTGCTACCTGGCATCCTCCTACTGCACCCTGAAGCTCGACTCAGATTAATTACATTGCGATTAGCTAACACTAGCGTGGTTGAATACATGACTGCCACTCTTTTTGGAGTACTTATCTAGACTTTGATTATCCCCTCATTTTTGCTATTGATACATGTACGTCACATATGCAACACCTACCGGAGGGTAAGTCTGTCTCCGTTTGCGTCCGAACTGTTTGCTTCATCATGCTTTGAAAACTGCTCATAGCACGTGAAAGACTGACCCACCAAAAGCAGTTTGGTTTTCGTCCTAGCCGAGCGTATATTGATCATAACTACACAGTCCGCCAAATTTTAGAACACTGATATTTGTTTCAGACCAACAACTGTAATGATTATTGACATCAAGACCACCTTCGATTCGTGGGACAGAATTGTTCTCTGAGATTGTCTGTTGAAGAAGGGTATACCTGAGAAGTTTGTTAACATTTAAAAACTCTTTATACTAACACATTAGGTAGAGTAGTGACAGCATACAACCACTTCTCTTCATTGTTTAATTCAAGCAGAAGGGTTGGGTAGGATTGCAACTTTGCCATCGATGACACTCTGGAAACAGCTTTGATGGACGTAAGTAATGGTGGTATGGATCTATCACACGAAGAAAGACCATGACTATGAGGATTATACCAAGGCATGCCACCCACACTTAATCAGCTGGCAACCAGTGGTCGTAAGTATGGCATGTGTTTTGCACCTTCGAAGTGCAAAGTTCTTTAACAAGACTAGCAGGACGCTGAACTTGCACTCACCCTGGGTAGTTGGAGGATAGAAGTAGTCGATAAGTTCGTGTATGTGAGTAGATGCGTAAGTTTTGGTGGTGTTATGACTGATGAGATCAGGTTATGTATAGTGAATGTCAGAGC